TATATACTCACCCCCTTCTAATGTTGCCTATTATCTATACATTATTTCAAACTCTTCTACTTGTATTCATCCCTCTTGCATGTCCCCCTCTCCCTTTCACCTCCTCTCTCCTGGAATTGTCATACATTTTCTTGATTGTTTATTCTATTTATTTGGTCATAAAGATAGTCTAGGACGGTAAAGGAAAATAGGAAATACAAGGAATTGAACTAGACCAGGCACCCTCTCTCCTGGGATGTGTATTCTTCACTGCCTTTGCACAGCCTTTGTTTCTTTGCAGAAGTAGTGTCTAGGATGCTGAGCAAGCAGAGGTTACACAGGTGCAGTGAAGCATGGGTTCTCCTTCAAGCTGGCAGTGACCAAGTGTGGCTACTGTGGTACCCAGCTGTGAAGGGCATATTCTATATCAGTCCCGATTCACATTGCAGGAGACGCTATCTGCAAAGTTACATACGTACGCAGCACTGCTTCCCGATTAAGCAGTTGAGCACAGCTATAGTCATGTTAAGATTTAATGTGACTTAAGTTGCTACACTTCCCATACCCATAATAATAATAACTTTATTCTTATATCCTGCCACCATTTCCCCAAAAGGACTTGGGGCGGCTTACTTGGGGACAAGGCCCAGTGAACAGAATTAAAACATAGCACAGTAAAATACATTGCATTGTAATAAATTAAAACAAAATCTGTACAAAACATCATAAAAACATAAATCGTCAACAACCAGTAGCCAAGCACAATGGGTGTGTTCAGAGCTGAGAGGGCGGGGCAAGGACTTGGGCAATACAGCTGCAGGGCGGGGCTGGAAGTAAAGTGCAAAAGCCAGATATGAGGGTGGAATGAAAAGTAATGCCTCCACCTTCGTAACTCCTCAACAGGTGGCAGTACTGGTATGTGGCAGGTACTGGCTTGTTCAGTAGACTCTCCTCTACAGTTCCATTTTGGCAGGAAGCTTTGGCATTGAATGGTTGTGTTGTTAAAGTGCGAAATGAAATTCTGCACAGACAGTCGGTCAATGCAACGTAAGCAATGTACAGTCATTGAATTCTTGTCAGCAGAAGGTGTCACCCCAAAGTAGATTCATCAGAGAATACAAGCTGTTTATGGTGATTGTGTTGATGTGAGTGCTGTGTGTTGTTCGGCAAGTAAGTTTAAAGATGTTGAGGTGGGAACATCTGACTTGCGTGACAAACAAAGAGTCTGACATCCTGTGACAGCAACCGAGTTTCACAAGCAAAAGGTTGACAGATTGATTTAGGACGATCGTTGTATCACTCAGAGAGAAATTTCAAGCATAACGTGTGGGTCACATTATTGCTTTGCTTGGCTATCGGAAGATCTGTGCACGCTTGGTTGCGGAAACAGTGTCTATTTCTTCCGTGACGTCTTCAGAAAACTTGTTCATCGTTGGCAGAAATGTATCCAATTGTCTGGTGATTATGTGGAAAGGTGAATAGTGGTAGTTGAAGAGCACATTCTAAGGATTATTTCTGCGTTCGTTTTATTAAAATATTCCCATCCAATCCCAAGTAACGAAGGTGGAGGCATTACTTTTCATTCAACCCTCATAATTAAATTAGGGCTAGAAGGGCCATGTTAGTTGATGAACCAATTAACCAAAAGCATATTGGAACATCCAAGTTTTCAGGTTTTTATGGAAGGTGGACAGGTTGGGCGCCAATCTAATCTCTCTGGGGAGAGAGTTCCAGAGCCGGGGGAGGGGGCACCACTGAGAAGGCCTTTTTCTCTTTCTTTTTTTCTCTCTTGCTCCCATCAACAGTACTTGTGATGGAGGTGGAAGCAAGAGGAGGGTCTCCCCAGTAGATCTTCAAGCTCATGCATAGGGGAAGATGTGATCATGAATATAGGCTGGACCCGGACCGTTTAGGGCTCTGTACGTGATAAGCTGCCCCTTGAATAGGGTCTGGAAGCTTATTGGCAGCCATATTTTAATTCTTGTGGACTACTGATGATCCATGGACCACAGGTTGAGAACCACTGCTTTAAACAGAGGTGGATTCCCAGAAGCTCCTTATTCATCCTGATCCACTACACCAGTGGTTCTCAACCTGAGGTCCCCAGATGTTTTTGGCCTTCAACTCCCAGAAATCCTAACAGCTGGTAAACTTTATTGTAGGCCATAAACATCTGGGGACCCCAGGTTGAGAACCGCTGCACTACACAGAACTGGACAATAAATTGTCTGTGTGTCTTTAACACAATCCAGCTGGCCATATATGAAATACTGGAAGCTTTTGGGGTGGGGTTGACTCTGCTCTCCAGGCCCCCACATGGTTCAGCCTCCCTTTCCTGCTGCTTTAGAACTTGCCTAGAAATCTAACCCTTCCATAGGGTGGGGGGATTCCCTATGTGGCCCCCCTGGGGTTGTGTTGCTCTGAATTTGCTGCCTCTTCATTTCAGAGAGGCTCGGCCCCACTAAGGGTTAGTCATGGCGCCAACCATTCCTGAAATGTGATGCCCGTTCCCCTGCTTGGCAGCCTGGCTTGTTGGGCTGAGTGGGCAAAAGGAACGTCAATGACGCACTTGGGGTTTTTTCCCTGTTAGTAGTGTTGACAGAAACTTGATCGTAATCAAGGAGACTCGGGAGGGATATCATTCCAGCCAGAGCTTGGAATTGTGTTACCGTGGTTGGGGGCTGTTGCCTTTCCCCACCTTTTGGGCATCTTTGTGTCTTGTCTAAATTGTGTACAGTCTTGGAAGCCACGGTCATCTCCTCCTTCTCTTTGTGGCCTGGCCTTTCTGCCTCCCTCCAGTCTGTCTGTGGCTCAGACTGCCTTCTGGTATGTAGCAACACTCCATACCTTGGCAAGGGATGCTGAGGGCTATAAATTAGGTTGGCACCTGCTAATGGTGCTGTAATTTATATCTAGGCAACCTTCCAATATGTGAGTGAACACAGTTTTGTAAAACTATAGAAGCTGGCAGTCATCCTGACCCAAGTCTCAACTAACGGAGAAGGCCTTGAACTCACCATCTGGCTTCAGAGGAGTCCTTTCTTGGACCTCTTTGACTTGGATCAAAGGAGTAACTTTTGTGGCTGCAAGTCTGGATGCAATGTTCTAATGTCCTGCTATGGACAGTTGAATGGAAGTACTCATTGGCACTAAACATATATGTTGTCAGGATCCAATTTAGCAAGAGAAACATCAGGGTCATGGTCCGTGATAAACTTGCCCTCTTAATTTTGGTCCTGGGAAACTGACTCAATTGTGGTAAGCATTTTCTGAAAAACCTATAGATCTAGCGAAGTCACTGTTGCACTGCTTGTGACCTGAGTTCAGGACCTCTCGTGGGTCAGCTGTGGTCTGAAAAGTATCTCCAGTTCCTTAGAGGAAAAAAAATCTTTTTCTCTGCTTGACTTGTCAAGTAGATGCCATCTACACTGACATTTGTCATCCTCTTTGTTCCTTTTGATCCACATCCTCTAATGTGAGCTAAGTAAGCTGTTTCATTTCATGAAGGCCTTAAAGGTGTTCAGAGAAGTGCAACAAGGATGATACTGGAGAGTAAAACATATGTGGAAAGGTTGAAGGGGCCAGGCATGTTCAGCTTGGCGGAGAGAAGAATGAAGGATGACATGATTGCCTTCTATAAAGGCCTCAAAGGTTGTTGCAAAGAAGAGGGAGCAGATTGGTTCTCTGCTGTCCAGGAGGGTAGGATGAGTGAGGTCTTAGAGTTTGAAGTTACAGGAGAGTAGATATTGAATGAACACTATAAGGAACAAAGGCTTTGAGAGGTTGTGAGGTCTCCTTCTTTGGAGGTCTTCAAAAAGAGAGACTTAACAGTTGTCTGCTGGGGATGCTTTATCTAGAGGTTCTACACTGAGCAGGGGTTGACCTTCCAATTCTATGGTTCATGAGGATCAATGTAAGTTTTGGACACATTTATTTGCATGTGGCCTCTTCTTTACGTTTTGACCAAATCAAACATGGACCCAAACAAATCAAACATGTTCTCCAAGTGTTGTTGAGCTTCAAATCCCAGAAACCCCAACCAACAGGACCAGAGGAGGGGATTCTGGAAATTAAATTCTCCTTCATAGAATCATAGAATCAAAGAGTTGGAAAAGAGCTCATGGGCCATCCAGTCCAACCCCCTGCCAAGAAGCAGGAATATTGCATTCAAATCACCCCTGACAGATGGCCATCCAGCCTCTGTTTAAAAGCTTTCAAAGAAGGAGCCTCCACCACACTCCGGGGCAGAGAGTTCCACTGCTGAACGGCTCTCACAGTCAGGAAGTTCTTCCTCATGTTCAGATGGAATCTCCTCTCTTGTAGTTTGAAGTCATTGTTCCACGTCCTAGTCTCCAGGGAAGCAGAAAACAAGCTTGCTCCCTCCTCCCTGTGGCTTCCTCTCACATATTTATACATGGCTATCATATCTCCTCTCAGCCTTCTCTTCTTCAGGCTAAACATGCCGAGCTCCTTAAGCCGCTCCTCATAGGGCTTGTTCTCCAGACCCTTGATCATTTTAGGGTGGAGGTCTGCAATTAAGCATACCATGTTTGGGATTGTTATCCCTCTCAGAAGGACCTTGCTGATGTAGAAGCAGAATGGCCCTTTAAAAAGAGAGACAGGGCAAGATCATACAAAAGGTTTTCAAAGTGGTTTCAAGATATGATTTTCAAAATGGGTCTTAATAGTTTTCCATTTTCCCTTTTTCTGATTCTGAGTAGAAAGTTCTGCTTGGCTTGATGTAGAAGATTTGAGAATTGGGGGTTCTTTCTTGTCTCTTTCTTTCCAAAGCTTTTGGTAATAGAGAGCTAGGTAATAACCATGGACCTGGACCTGAGATGATGACAGTGAAATGGTCCCATCTCAGCCATGGATCATGGGCTGGCTTTGACTCTCATTCCACTCTGTTAAAAGAAAAGACTGACCAACGATTCAAGGCTATGCAAGGGGAATAAGTTGATGTTTTATGAGTTGCCTGCTATGCTACATGTTACGAATACTGTCTTACATTTACTCTCCAGGTATCTGCTCTGCTCTGTTGGAAGAGGATCTGCTCCAGCAGAGGAGGAGTTGGTGCCATTTTTTAAAATGGCTGACGATAAATATTCTTTTGACGTCCCTGATCGTATCAACTTTGAAGACGATAATGATGGTGTTGATGCTTGGTTTGGTGAGTACTGCAGCATCCTCCTCTCCCAGTTTAGGACTAGGGGACTTGTTTTCATTGAGGGATCACATGGCTAGATGCAAAGACTTGGGGAGAGTGAACATTTGAGGCTATACTGCTGTGATCAGAAGTGATATTACAGAACACTAAAAAAGCTGCCTCTGCCCTCCCCATCCCTGAATGCAACAAAGATGCCGAGGAGAATTTTTTAACTGTCTTGATCCACGTCAAGACAGTTCTGAGACCTAATATTAAAAAATATTATGAGGCGAATAGATTAAGATTGGCTATAGAAGGAATGGTTAAAAAAGAGGGAGCAGATTGGCTTAGTAAAGATTCAGAAGAAGTGGAAGAAGAAATTTGGAATATATTTTTCAAACAGTTCACGAGAAAAGAAATTAGGGAAATTAGAAACCCAATGCTGAGCAATACATTAGAAGTATGGAACAAATATAGGAGAAAGTTAATAACGGATGGGTCAATTATAACCCCAATTGTAATGGAAAAGAAGTTTCCAAAAAATCTAAAAAAAGTAATGGATAAAAAGTTAAGGGGAAAAAATTTAGATAAGATAGGGGATTGGATAAAGGTGGGAATGAAGAAGGAAATGATGATGGAAGAGTTTAAAGAAATAAAATTGACATGGTTCCATTGTATACAATTAGAACAATGGCTTAAAAATTGGGAAAAAAATAATAGAAATGGAAGCAAACTTAACCGATTTGAACAAATAATACAGAATGGAAGGGTTGTAGAAAAGCATGAAAATTTGAGAGGAACAGCTAGTAAAATATATAAGATAATAATTGAAATAAATGAAGGAAACACAAAAAACAACACCCTTAAAGAGGTTTGGGAAGAAGATTTAGGGATAAAAATAAATGACACAGAGTGGCAACAATTACGGAGACAAAGACATTTAAAAAATGTATCAATACGGGTTAAAGAAAATTATTATAAGCTAATATGGAAGTGGTATCTGACACCAGTAAGATTAGCATATATAAATAAAAATAATTCAAAAAATTGCTGGAGAGGGTGCCAAGAACCAGGAACATATATACATATGTGGTGGCAATGTAAATATGTAAATAATTTTTGGGAGAAAGTATTTAGAGAAATAGAAGATATAATGAATATGAAAATTGAGAAAAGTCCTAGTATAGCTTTATTATCATTATATAACAATAAACAATTGAAAAAGGAGGATAAAGAAGTGATAACAAACTTATTAACAATAGCAAGACTGCTCATAGCAAGGAACTGGAAAAAAGAAATAAATATACAAATAGAGGAGTGGTACAAGGAAGCATGGAAACTGGCAATAAATGATAAGCTGACATGTATATTAAAAGTTTTAAAAGGTATATGGAAACAAAGTGATTTTGATGTTGTATGGGGAAAATTTGTTGTAAATGGTTTAAAAAATAAAGAAGGAAGGTTACCGCCACAAGAAGAAATGAGATTTTGGACAGATGATATGTAAAAGTTGTGGCTTGAAATGGGGGGAGGGGAGCACAGTGGTGGGAAAAAATGCTTAAGCAGAATAATAAGATTATATGTTAAAGAGGGTGATGAATAATATGTAACTGCTATAAACAAATGTATAACAAATGTAATAACTATGATAAAATAATAAAAAATATTTTAAAAAAAGACAGTTCTGAGACTACAGCTCTCTGAACTCCCCAGCCGTTGCCAAAAAAATAATAAAATAATAACATTTCCAGAAACTGTACAGTGTTCCCTCACTTATTGTGGGGGTTACGTTCCAGGACCACTCGCGAAAAGTGAAAATCCGCAAAATAGGGATGCTATATACGAGGGGTATTTTTTAAGTAAGGTCCGTTTGAACATAAGTACACAACGAAAGTTTATTTCAAAAAAGTACATTTATTTTCAGAAAGTACATACTTCACTCTATTTTTCGACATAGTTGCCAAGTTTGTTCAAACACTTATCATACCTCTGAACCAATTTTAAAATACCCTCTTCATAAAAACTTGCTGCCTGCTCCGATAACCAAATCGTCTGTAATCAAAGAAGGGCGACCGGAGCGGTCCTCATCATGGACGTTGTCACGGCCATCTTTGAATTGTCGTACCCACTTACGCACTTTGCTTTCACTCATAACAGTATCACCGTACACTTCACAAATCTGTCGATGAATTTCTGCAGCAGGCAGGTTCCTTGCTGACAAAAACCGTATCACTGAGCGAACCTCACATGCGGAGGGTGAGTTGATAGTCTTAAACATTTTTAAAGCACAGAACAGAACCGTACAGGTTAGCTACAGAGCGGAAACTGAGCACAGTTGTTCCCTAGGCATGCCGGTACACGACGCACGCGCTCGTTGCGGTATGCGCGCGAACTACTAGTGTCTACAACAAAATGGACCTTACTTAAAAAATACCCCTCGTGTATATATATATCGAGTTCCAAGGGTGAGGCAGAAGCGAGGAGAGATTTAAAGGCACCACACACCTATTTTATTTTTTATTTTTTGCTAGCTATCTCTGCTTTGCTTTGCAATCTATCTTGAATGGCTGCTTCTCTCCCGGGGGAGGGTGAAACCCCCTTCCACACTCCATCGTTGCCAGGAGGCAGGATTAGAACGCCGCTCTGGGCAACGGCAACCATTCATAAACTAGGAGGCAAAAACCCACAAAACAACGAATCTACAAAACGCAAACCACGAAGTAGCGAAGGAACACTGTACCTGTCATGTCTGAGGGATGCAAGGATCTAGCAGAAGCCCTACACAGAGATGGTTGTTGTATGTGATGGAATCAACAGAGATGGATGAAAGAGGAGAGGCCAGTAGATGTTCAGATCTGTCCATTGTGGAACTCGCAGTCTTCTTTAGGATTCAAGGACCCCTTTTGCTCTTGTGAGTGGGTAGATGCAAGTGAGGCAAGGGACAATATCACATTAGCATTAAAAAGAAGAGGTGCTTACTGCAGAATTCTGGGAAGTGTAGTTTAAAGAAGCCTAGGACCTTTCTAGGACCTTCAACGAGCCCCCGGTGGCGTAGTGGGTTAAAGCGCTGAGTTGCTGCGCATGTTGACCAAAAGGTCGCAGGTTCGATTCCGGGGAGCGGCGTGAGTTTCCGCTGTCAGCCCTAGCTTCTGCCAACCTAGCAGTTCGAAAACATGCAAATGTGAGTAGATCAATAGGTACCGCTCCGGCGGGAAGGTAACGGCGCTCCATGCAGTCATGCCGGCCACATGACCTTGGAGGTGTCTATGGACAACGCCGGCTCTTTGGCTTAGAAATGGAGATGAGCACCACACCCCAGAGTCCGACATGACTGGACTTAATGTCAGGGGACAACCTTTACCTTTACTTAAGACGTTTCTGCCTCAGAATTCAAAAGGTCCTGCCCTAAACTACATTTCCCAGAATTCTACAGGAAGCGACCATACGATCGGAAAACGGGAGCACCTGCTTTATAATGGTGTGATCTCATTTAAAATAGAGACCTCAGAGTCACTGATGCCATTAATCGTGCTTTTAGGCTGGCAGAACTAAAAACCTTATGAATATTATTTTCTGAATAAGTTAAAGGTCAAAATGAGAGACGCTAAAAGGCTTAATACTTCTTTTTTTGCCTTCTCACTATCTATATATAAATGCTCTGTGCATAATGAGTACCTTAAAAACAAAAGAACCAATGAACGAAATCGCACCAAATTTGGCAACAAAACGTCTCACAACACAAGGAGTGACCATCACTCAAAAATTATGATTTTGTCATTTGGGAGTTGTAGTTGCTGGGATTTATAGTTCACCTACAATCAAAGAGCATTCTGAACTCCATCAACGATGGAATTGAACCAAACTTGGCACACAGAACTCCCATGACCATCAGAAAATACTGGAAGGGTTTGGTGGGCATTGACCTTGGGTTTGGGAGTTGTAGTTCACCTACATCCAGAGAGCACTGTGGACTCAAACAATGATGGATCTGGACCAAACTTGGCACAAGCACTCAATACCCAAATATGAACACACAGGGAGTTTGGGGGAAATAGACCTTGGCATTTGGGAGTTGTAGTCACTAGGATTCACAGTTCACCTACAATCAAAGAGCATTCTGAACCCCACGAACAACAGAATCGGGGCAAACTTCCCACACAGAACCCCCATGACCAACAGAAAATACTTAAGGCCATCCAGTCCAACTCTCTTCATCAGGGCAAGAAAATGTAATCAGAGCCCTCCTGACAAAGAGCCATCCAGTCATAAATATAGATAGATAGATAGATAGATAGATAGATAGATAGATAGATAGATATGATTCACAGAGAGAGATATAGTATCATAGATTTGAAAGGGACCCCTAAAGAAGGACTATGATATGTTGCATATTCCAGAGTAGGCAAACCAGACAATCTCCACATCAAGACTGACAAAGAAACAGCAAGAAATACTGTTTACCCACAAACAGAAAGACATTACATATATTAGAAACCAACACTTTCTCATTATTTTTTTTCCAGATCACCAGACTGGGCCACAGCAACGCGTGGCAGGGGACCGCTAGTTATTTATAATTCTGTAGTTTAAATGAGGCTATCAAAATTGTGGAGGGCACAATCAACTGCTTTCTCAATCAATGTCCTGTCTGGGAGGTGGCGCCATGCTTCCATATTTGGGAGACTTATGGGTTGCGTTGGTGCCATACATTCTCGCTGGTTAATTTTTTTCCTTTTTGAAATGACTGGTTGCATATCAGCTGGGTTGGCATGGATAGTTGTGAACAATAATCTTTGAACTCTGCAGGAATCTCTGCAAGGTCTAAAGAGCTTAAATATGGCCAAAAACAAACAAAAGTCTAATTCAACTCCTTAATCCTCCCACATGTGAGAAAGAAGCTGGTTTCTGACTGTCCCTTTAGCACTCCTCCAGCTTTCGTATGGGAAAGAGGGCAACAAGCCGACCAATCCTTTGTAGCATGGATGGTTGCCCTCGATGTGTTCAACTTACAAGGTGGTGGTTTCTTGCAGATCATGTGAGACCACAACTGTTCACTCCCAAGGGAGCATTCGCACAGAGAACGTCAGCAGAAAGGGCGATGCTCCCGCACGCCATCATCACGCCGATCATGGAAGCCAGTAAGTTGCTTCTGTCCAGAGCCGGCGGTGGCCTGTGAGCATGTTGAATTGTGTCTTGGTTTCAAGAGGCACAGAGAGAACAAGTCTAGTTGATTTGTATAACAGAAAGAGGTGGTAACTAAATTTCTCTCTCTACGACTCTGCACATAAATTGAAATATACAAGGGGAGGTCTTCGTGGGCATGGTCTGAAGGGCCATATTAAGGTAACACCTTTTGCCCCCAAAGTATTCCAAACATACTCCAGGGAGAATTTTGTTTTGGTATGCCTTCAGTCATTTTAGGAGGGTTTTTTTTTTTACAGGAAGAGGTGATCCTGAGAACCTCCCCAAAGCCTAGAAATAGCCCAGACAGTGAAAATTTGATGAGAATGCCCACCACATTTATTTATTTATTCATTTATTTATTTGGGGTGCTTCTACCTCGCCCTTCTCAACCCCCTAAGGGGGACTCAGGGCGGCTTACAAAAGGCACAATTCAATGCCTAACAATTCACAAAATACAATACAATATACAATACACAAATTTACCATATAATGTCAACAGTTATAACTAATTAAAACAATCAAACAGTATACTAGCAGCAATAAAATCATCTTGTGGTCAATGTTCACCAATTCAAATCCGTAAACCATCTCGCATCGTCATTGTCCTTTCCTACTCTGGTCGTCATTGGTTGTCTTTGTCCATCTGCCAGCTTACCCGAAGGCCTGGTCCCACATCCAGGTTTTTAGCTTCCTTCTGAAAGAGAGGAGGGATGTTGATGTCCTAATCTCCCCCGGGAGTGCATTCCACAGGCGAGGGGCCACCACCGAGAAGGCCCTGTCCCTCGTCCCCACCAGTCTCGCTTGTGATAAAGGTGGGCCGAGAGCAGGGCCCCCTCAGCAGATCTTAAACTCTGAGGTGGGACGTAGAAGGAGATACGTTTGGACAGGTACGCTGGGCCGGAGCCGTAAAGGTTTTTGTAGGTCAAATGGCCTGACAGTGCCTAAAGGGTGACACAGGGACTGTTGGGGGCATTTAAGATAAAATAATAATAATAACAACAACAATAACAGCAACAACAAAAAACGATAACAATATTTATAGACCGCCCTTTCTCCCAGAGGGGACTCAGGGCAGTTTACACACCAAAAAAGACAAATATTCAATGCCCTATGCCACCGTTTCTCAACCTCCCTAATGCTGCACCCCCTTAATACGGTTCCTCATGTTGTGGTGACTCCCAACCATAACATTATTTTCATTGCTACTTCGTAACTGTAATTTTGCTACTGTTATGAATCATCATGTAAATATCTGATATGCAGGATGTATTTTCATTCACTGGACCAAATTTGGCACAAATACCCGATACACTCAAATTTGAATACTGGTGGGGTTGGGGGGGAATTGATTTTGTCGTTTGGGAGTTGTAGTTGCTGGGATTTATAGTTCACCTACAATCAAAGAGCATTCTGAACTCCACCAACGATGGAATTGAACCAAACTTGGCACACAGGACTCCCATGACCAACAGAAAATACTGGAAGGGTTTGGTGAGCATTGACCTTGAGTTTGGGAGTTGTAGTTCACTTACATCCAGAGAGCACTGTGGGCTCAAACAATGATGGACCAAACTTGGCATAAATACTCAATATGCCTAAATGTGAACACTGGTGGAATTTGGGGAAAATAGACCTTGAGATTTGGGAGTTGTAGTTGCTAGGATTTATAGTTCAGTGAAAGAGCATTCTGAACCCACCAATGATAGAATTGGGCCAAACTTCCCATGCAAAACCCTCATGCCTTGAAGGGTCTCGCTGGTGCGAGTCTCCCTCCAGCCTCACACGCTCTCCCTCGCCTGCACATGTGCATCACACTGTCATGTGCTGAGCACGCCTGCTCTCCCCTCCCTGCCTGGAGTCTCAGAAACAGCCCTCCCTTTGGCTGAGAGTCTGGCCAATCACAGTGGAGGAGGATTTTTTGGTGGGTCTGTTTCCAAAAAGAAAGACTAGAATAGGCAGAGAGATCTTCAGCCTTCTCTGCCAAAGGAGTTCCTAAGACCATCAAAAATATATGTTTTCGGATTATCTTTAGTGACCCTTCAGAAACCCCACGTGACCCCCCCCCCCAGGGTACTGACCCCCAGGTTGAGAAACGTTGCCCTACACAAATACAAATATCTCAAAAATAATCCCAAATAATACAAAGTAATAACCATAAACATATTCCAAAGAGCCTCAACAATTGTGCGGGGGAGCCCCATCTTGCCTCTTGGGTCTGGGCTTTAGGAGCCTTTCTTCTAATGCTTTTCTTTTACCTTTGCTTTGAAATGCACTTTGCAGCCATTCTACGCCTTTTAAGAGATTCCTTTGCTGTGCTTTACTGGGTTCTGAGTAATTTGGTGTCACCTGTAAAATTAGCTGCCCCCTTTCCTGAGATCCTTGGTTTTTTTTACTTGCCACGGATATGTTATTTTCTGAATAAGTTAAAGGTCAAAATGAGAGATGCTAAAAAGCTTAATACTTCTATTGTCGAAGGCTTTCATGGCTGGAATCACTAGGTTCTTGTGGGGTTTTTCGGGCTATATGGCCATGTTCTAGACGTTTCGCCTGTATCTATGGCTAAGCATCCTCAGAGGTAGTGAGGTCTGTTGGAATTAGGACAATGGGTTTATTTATCTGTGGAATGGCTGGGGTGGGGCAAAGAGCTCTTCTCTGCTGGAGCTAGGTGTGAATGTTTCAACTGACCACCTTCATTAGCATTTGAAGGCCTGGCTGAGCCTGGGGAATCTTTTGTTGAGAGGTGTTAAGATGTGCCTGGTTGTTTTTACAACAGCAAAACAGCAGAGAGGAAACAACCAGGCACATCTTAACACCTCTCAACAAAAGATTTTCCCAGGCTCAGCCACGCTCAAATGCTAATCAAGGTGGTCAGTTGAAACATTCACCCTTAGCTCCAGCAGACAAGAGTCCTTTGTCTCACCCTGGTCATTCCACAGATATATAAACCTTTTTCCTAGTTCCAACAGACCTCACTACCTCTGAGGATGCTTGCCATAGATACAGGCGAAACGTCTAGAACATGGCCATATAGCCCGAAAAACCCCACAAGAACCTAGCTTAATACTTCCTTTTGTTTTGCCTTCTCGCTATTATTTATAATCTCCCAAATTTTGAACCTTAGTCAGCTCATGTATAAAACAAAATGAACCCAAGCATGGGCACTTTTACGCACCAATAAAAGTGTGCTTAACTAAGTGTCCCTCAATTATAAAAAGCTAGAAAAGGGAAAGATCCAAGCAAATGGTAGAGGTTGTGCAAAAAGGCCTTGCTGAATGACTGAAGCTTTGGTTTTCCTGAGCATTCTTTTGCTGGGTTGTTGTAGGTTTTTTCAGCTATCTGGCCATGGTCTAGAGGCATTCTCTCCTGACATTTCGCCTGCACATAAAATCACTCTCAACAAAGGATTCCCCTCAGGCACTTCCAAGCCATTGAATGCTAATCAAGGTGATCAGCTGAAACATTCACACCTAGCCCCAGCAGTCAAAAGTCCTTTGTCTCACCCTGGTCATTCCACAGATATATAAACCCATTTTTCCTACTTTCAACAGACCTCACTACCTCTGAGGATGCTTGCCATAGATGCAGGCGAAACGTCAGGAGAGAATGCCTCTAGAACCATATAGCCCGAAAAAACCTACAACAACCCAGGGATTCTGGCCATGAAAGCCTTCGACAATACATTCTTTTGCTGCTTCAGATGCTGCAGAAGGAATGATGGAAGCTTTAAAAATCTGGAAAACGTTGTTGATGCACTATTTATTTTTAGACGATAAACTCCCAGACAACTCGACATCTGCAGCCAATGAGACATCTCCAGCTAATGAGGCATCTGCCGCCAATGAGACATCTGCAGCCAATGAGGCAACCATGGCAGCTTCTGGCCGGACCTCAAAAAGGTAAGAACGTCCTGCTCAGATCCAGGAAACCCACCCATTCAAAGATGGCATTGAGATAAGTTACAGCGTCAGGCCTAGACTCCATAGTTCCTTGACAAAGTCCGTCTCCCACAAGGAGTCTTCTTCGTTTCCTCATGGAGTGGCCTCCCCAACCTCTGAACTTAGTGCCCCTTGCTTCTCCGTCTCTTGGAGGGGGAGAGAGGTCTGTCTTAAGTCCTGAGGAGCTAGAAAGCAACCTTAATAGTCAGAATGGAAGCTGCAGTCTTGGGTTGCAGACTGTAACAAATTATTATTATTATTATTATTATTATCATTATTATTATCATTATTATTATCATTATTATTATCATTATTATCTTTATTTATACCCCGCAAAATCTCCCGAAGGACTCGATGCGGCTTACAAAGGCCAAGGCCGCCAACAACATACAAATATAACAGTAAAACTCATAAGCAAATAATAAACATGAAACAAAAACAATAAAACACTAAAAACAATGACAACATGACGCATTTAAAACCTAAAGGCCGGGCCAAATGTAATGGACAAAATTTAAAAGTGCTGAACTTGACAGGAGGTATGTAGAGGTTTTTTGGAGGTAGGTGCAATGTCCTGGTCTCTAACAAAGTGCATTTGGGACATGATGCCAGGAGTTTCCTAATCTGGAAAGGCACACTGGAACAGCCAGGTCTTCAGGCTCTTCCTAAAGATTGCCAACGTTGGGGCTTGTCTGATGTCCTTGGGGAGAGAGTTCCAGAGTCGGGGGGCCACCACAGAGAAGGCCCTGTCCCTCGTCCCCACCAAACGCGCTTGCGATGCCGGTGGGATCGTGAGCAGGGCCTCTCCAGATGATCGAAGGGAACGCGTGGGTTCATATATGGAGATGCGGTCACGCAGGTAGGCGGGTCCCAAACAGTGTAGGGCCTTTTAGGTGAGCACCTGCACCTTGAATTGGGACCGGAAGATGAATGGCAGCCAGTGGAACTCCTTAAACAGGAGGGTTGACCTCTCTCTGTAAGGAGCTCCAGTTAACAGCCTGGCCGTCGACCGTTGGACCAGTTGGAATTTCCGAGCTGTTTTCAAGGGCAGCCCCACGTAGAGCGCATTACAGTAGTCCAATAAATTATTATTTATTTTTATTTACTACATTTATATACCGCCCCTCTCAGCCCACAGGCGACTCAGAGCGATTTACAGTCAATATCAAAGACATAAAATACAATTTAAAAACAATCAATGTTAAATATAAAGCCAAGTAAAACAATCAATATCAATAAAAACATATCCATTTGAGTCTCCTAGTTGAAAGCATTATCCAATAACATCGTTGAGTCGTTCCGTTTTTCTCCATGTCTGTTATATTGTGTCTGTAAGCGCTTGCTCAAAGAGCCACATCTTGACTTGCTTTCGAAATGTTAAAAGGGAAGGGGCCGATCTAATATCCCTGGGGAGGACATTCCATAGCCAAGGGACCACCACTGAGAAGGCCCTGTCTCTTGTCCCCGCCAACCGTACTTGTGACGAAGGCAGGATTGAGAGCAGGGCCTCTCCAGACAATCTTAAAGTCCTGGAGGGTCTATTAGGGGAGATGCGTCCAGACAGGTAAGTTGGGCCAGAACCGTTACTTATAAATTGCTTAATTTATAAATTATAAATTACTTAATTTATAGGAGTTTTGTAAAAAAAGGTTTTATTGAGTGATATATAGTGCAGGCAGGTTAGTTTGAAATGTAGCCGTTTGTGTAGCTGATGCGTTGCCATGGTGACGTAGGCTTCCAGGCAGGAGGGAAAGGGGGCGGCGCTAACTGCCACTGAATGGCACACAGAAGAGTTCTCTGTGCCATATTTGGTTCAATTCCATCATTGGTGGAGTTCAGAATGCTCTTTGATTTTAGGTGAACTATACATTCCAGTAACTACAACCTGCATATGTCAAGGTCTATTTTTCCCCAAGAGTGCCTCAAGAGTGCCCCTGGGTAAATCAACTATACTGCAAATGCTTACTTTGCGTAATGGGTTGAGCCACTTCCGCTCATCAACCAAAAGCAGGCCCACACTTCCCATTGAAATACTAATAAGTTTATATTTGTTAAAAGTGTTCTTCATTTTAATTATTGCATTGTTTTTTAAGTGTTTTTTGCACTACAAATAAAATATGTGCAGTGTGCATAGGAATTCATCCATTTTTTAAATTAAGTTCTTATTATTAACCAATAGGTAATGGTCTCTAAGAAGATCATGCCGATTTATAATCCTAACAGGTCCTAATCCTCCAATATTTGTAAGCACTGAAACATTTTGAAAGGTATACCTCATTTATTGAAGCCCACAACTGACCTTCCCTTTTCCCACCGCCTCCACTTTTAGAGCGGCAAGGCGGATCTCGGCTCATCGGAGGAGTGCGCAAAGAAGAATAATGGCCAAAAGTCAGGCGGACAAACGTGCTGCCACCTTGGCCAGCAAGCAGGAGCCACCTCCGCAGAAGAAACAAAGAATGTGAGTCTGAAATATTGCTGGTGTGGGGGGCACATCAAGTGGAGTCATTGTGATGTTCAAAGGGGGCAGTTCTGATCCCTCCGCCGCCTGGTCCTGTTCAAAGACAAGGCTTGGAGAGAGTAAAAGGGTGCCATTTGGGCTCTCCTCTTTCTCCCTTTGAATCCAGGACAGTTTTGGAAGGACAGGAATCATGCATTAGGCTTCGGTGAGAGTAATCATTCTGTCGAGGCACAGGAAGTCGTGATGGGTATAGAATGCAGCTCCTGACAAATGTCCTTTGCTCTCTCTCTTTGCTTTACTTTAATCAACCTAAGTAGCTTTACGGTCCTTCAGGATGTCAAGATATGTTTGCAAGTGCGTGGGGAAATGTTTACATGACTGAAAATACAGTAGATCACTCTGACATCTGGTCATTGAAGTGGTGATTCAGTGCTTCACAGCCACTTCCAGTAACTAGCAGGGAAAGTGTAAATTGACAGGCTGATTTTTGTAAACCGAGTAGCCTGTTGCATTACCTCAGCACAGAGCTGTCTTAACTCTCTTTAAAATTTCTCAGGCAGGCAGGAGCCATTCAAGGGGCAGGGGGCACAGCCAAATCCCCCAAGTGGTAAAGGCCCTTCTAACAAGCTTTCATGGCCGGAATCACTGGGTTGTTGTAGGGTTTTCCAGGCTATATGGCCATGGTCTAGAGGCATTCTCTCCTGACGTTTTGCCTGCATCTATGGCAAGCATCCTCACTCCCTCTGAGGATGCTTGCCATAGATGCAGGCGAAACGTCAGCAGAGAATGCCTCTAGACCATAGCCATATAGCCCGGAAAAACCTACAACAACCAAGCCCAGATTTCTCAGTTTTCTGCTGCAATTCATCTTAAAACAGTGACACATGACTTCCTGCAGAAGTAAATTAAGCTATTTGTTATCAGTAGGGGGTGGGTTTTGTGTATTTTCAACCATTTAGGAAGTATTCAGCAGGGTAACAATATGAAATTCCTTTTAGTTTTTTTAATTGAGAGTTTGTGAGGGGGAGGGGGAAGAGGAGTAAACATGGAATTCAGGGAATGCATTGGGTTATACTGGGCTCATAATCTTTGTTAGTCTTCAACCTGGGGCTTCTCTCACTGAAGCTTCTCATACAGCAGGCCTACTCATACTGAGGCCTACTAACACTGAGGCTTACCTCCCACTGAGGCCTTTCTCCCACTGAGATCTTCTCCCACTGAGGGCTTTCTCAGACTGACGCCTCTCTCACACTGAGGCCTACTCATACTGAGGCCTACTAACACTGAGGCTTACCTCCCACTGAGATCTTCTCCCACTGAGGGCTCTCTCAGACTGACGCCTCTCTCACACTGAGGCCTACTAACACTGAGGCTTACCTCCCACTGAGGCCTTTCCCCACTGAGATCTTCTCCCACTGAAGGCTCTCTCAGACTGACGCCTCTCTCACACTGAGGCAGACTATCATTGAGGCCTACTAACTCACCGAGGCCCTTCTCCCGCAGAGACCTCTCACAGACTGAGGGCTACTAAGCTACAGGCACAACTGCTTCTATAGAATAGCAGCTTTTGCTATATCATTGCATCCGTTTAACCCTTTCAGTACTTGACTCACATTTTCGTAACTAAAAATACTTAGTTAATTTTAATATCTCTTAACAAGTTTTTTTTGGGGGGGGGGGGTGAGGACCAAAAGTGGAGTTCAGGGAATGCACAAGGTGAATGTGGCCACCCTGGCCTAAGTAAGGGATCAGGTCCCATGCAGAAATGGCCAGCTTGGAAAACTAGTCTTCAGTCCTCAGTGGACCGCTCAGTTTGTCATATGAAACCCACTTTCTCTTTCTCATTTGCCTTTACAATTTTCACTGCTTTGGGAATTCAAAAGAGGGCTAGCCTGCCGATTTTGGAAATCCACATCATTATTTTGAAAGGAGTAGCCATTCCCCTGCTTAGTTTGGAGAAGAGATAATGGGGGGGAAAGCTCATTGATTATGGAAAGCTGGTGCTGCGTGTGTTGGGAAGCTGACTGAAGCCCCAGTGACTGCAATTTCATCAATGTAGCAGAAACAGTGAATAGATAGCGCTCTTTTCCTGTCCCGTTCGTTGCCAAGATTCAGGGAAATACCCCAAGGGGACTAGGCCCCAAATCTGTGACAAGACAAATTTTTGAAGATGGGGAGGATGAGGAGATGTTGCTCATGTTGCATGTTTGGGGAGAGGAGGAGTTCTGAGCAGTCCTGTGCTGTTCCCTCCCCAGGTGAAGGCTAGGAAATCCTTTGCACTTGAAAGGGATGCAGTAGGTAGTCTCCAGCTAGCAGGACCGACCCTTTACCTTCTTTCTCTTCCTGCTTCCAGATCCGCTCAGAGGGTGAATCTGGGGGAAACACCCTTGGCCAAACATCCAGTCACACCTGCAACACCAAAGTAGGTAGTAGGATTTGACTTGGTTTCTGTTAACTGGATATTACACTCTCAGTCTGTGTCAATTTTGGGTTCTGCAGATGCATTGGAGGATAACTGTTCCCGTCCTTCAGCCAGCATTACCGGAGTTTGTAGTTCAACACATCTGGAGGTTGGGCTTTCTGGAATGGATAGGTAACTGGAAGTGTGTGGCTTCTAGCAATCAAGTAACCCAACTTGTCTCCATCATAACTGTGCTGTCACACGCTGGGCCTGTGCATAAGACTGTAGACAGGACATAAATTCTGTGAGCCCAACGGGACGCCGGGGCTGCCTCAGATTAAAGGCCTTTGGATTTCCTTAAAACCAAAGTCTTTAGATTGCTTAAAGGTTCAACAAAGTTTTTTATTATTGATGAAAACAAACAGGTACTTTAAGGCTTTCTTAACAGTCTATTGGCTCTCTCAATCTTGTTCACTGGGAACAGGCACTATCTTCATAAACTGTAATTTAACTAATGGGGAAATCCTTAACTTCTAATCTGGGCAGTCTGTTTTTGTTGGCGTGGAGCCCCTGCACCCAGTACCAACTGCTTCTGGCTTCCGCGAGTGACCCTTACCAAGCAGAGCTTTGTAAACTTCCAGAGGAAAAGGAGTTCAGGTTTCGGTGATGGCTGACTGAAGTCCCTCAGCAAAGGAGCTGTAAGGCTGTATGATCCTCGGCCAAGCTGTGGGCTGTATATCTCCCCGGCCAAGCCGTAGAAGACAAAGCTTTGTACAGGAGCTCTTGGTATTATGTCCTGCATGGAAAGCTTCTCTGTGTGGACTGAACCCAAACTGGATCCTATTCCCTCCAAAACCCAAAGGGGGCGGGACCAGGGAACCTAACTATAATTGACAAGTGGCTTGCCCTATGATTGCAGCCAAAAGAAGCCACCTATCTGCAGAGTCCCTGAAACTTAGGACTACAACAAACATTCAATGCAAAGCAAACAAAATTGGAGCTCTTGGTACAGCTGTACCTGCACAATAACCACTCTTTTTACACAAAAAGAAGTGTGGACAAGGTTTTTCATTCCATTTGCCCAGCCAGCGTCTAGGAGTGTGGTCAGAGTACAACCCTGGGAGCACCTGTTGTCCCACAACGCTGTTTTTGGACCTCTACATTTTCAACACTTTTACTTGGTTAAGAAAGAAAAGGTGACTACCAGGTCCCATAGTCTGTTCAACCGGAAACTACCTTTTTTCGAAACTGTTGTTTGTTCCACTCCTGGAAAGGTCCATGGCTTGGCCCCCCAGGCATGCTGGGGTTTCTCTTCCCCATGTCTAGTAACTTGAATATCTCCACTGGGTTATGGTGGCACTTCGTCTGGAATGCTTTTTGTATTGCTTTGATAACTGATGTTGAGAACCCAAAACCCTGCAGTGCTGGCCCCACTGAATTTTTTATGATGATGATGATGATGATTATTATTAACTTGACTTGTATACCACTACTCCTAATTTGGCTCGGAGCGGTTTACAGCAGTAGATTAAAACAATACAATTAACTTTATAATACAATAAAACAAGAACAGACATAGTTCCGAGTTATTCACCCATCAAAAGCTTGTCGGAAGATAAAGGTTTTCATAGAATCATAGAATCAAAGAGTTGGAAGAGACCTCATGGGCCATCCAGTCCAACCCCATTCTGCCAAGAAGCAGGAATATTGCATTCAAATCACCCCTGACAGATGGCCATCCAGCCTCTGTTTAAAAGCTTCCAAAGAAGGAGCCTCCTCCACACTCCGGGGCAGAGAGTTCCACTGCTGAACGGCTCTCACAGTCAGGAAGTTCTTCCTCATGTTCAGATGGAATCTCCTCTCTTGTAGTTTGAAGCCATTGTTCCGCGTCCTAGTCTCCAGGGAAGCAGAAAACAAGCTTGCTCCCTCCTCCCTGTGGCTTCCTCTCACATATTTATACATGGCTATCATGTCTCCTCTCAGCCTTCTCTTCTTCAGGCTAAACATGCCCATCTCCTTAAGCCGCTCTTCATAGGGCTTGTTCTCCAGACCCTTGATCATTTTAGTCGCCCTCCTCTGGACACATTCCAGCTTGTCAATATCTCTCTTGAATTGTGGTGCCCAGAATTGGACACAATATTCCAGGTGTGGTCTAACCAAAGCGGAATAGAGCATGGGGAGCATGACTTCACAAGATCTAGACACTAGGCTCCTCTTGATGCAGGCCAAAATCCCATTGGCTTTTTTTGCCACCACATCACATTGTTGGCTTATGTTTAACTTGTTGGACTCCAAGATCTTTTTCACATGTCCTGCTCTCGAGCCAGGCATCATCGTCCCGCGTTCTGTGTCTTTGCATTTCGTTTTTCCTGCATAAGTGGAGTCTCTTGCATTTGTCCCTGTTGAACTTCATTTTGTTAGTTTTGGCCCATCTCCAATCTGTCAAGATCGTTTTGAATTCTGCTCCTGTCCTCTGCAGTATTGGCTATCCCTCCTAATTTGATAATTAAAGGATGGGCTTTAGCAGTGATATGCTGCCTGGTATATTTCGAAGTAGGGGTTTGAGGTCTATTCTGTACTGAGAAATTGGGTGTCTCATTTTCGGTTTGCATGGTTTCGCATTGATGTGGCATTGGCGGTTAAACTGTGGAGAAATAGGTGTGTTGCTTTAGGGATGTGTGCTGGGGAAAGCATTTAATTTCATTGCACAGTGTACAATGACAATAAAGGTATTCTATTTCTATGTTACTAACGTCTTCCTTTTCCCTTCCAATCAGCTCCCAACAGCCCTATCCATCATGGCCCTTGATGGGGGTTCTGGGAGTTGTAGTAGCCTACAACCATCTGGGGAGGAGTCCCATGTTTCCTACAGTTGGCATAGGAGCTGCTTTGTCTGTGTCTTTCCCTTTACTGACAGTCCTGGCCCTCCGTATTTTGTTTCCAGAAGGAGGAATCCCTCTGCCAAGGGGAAGACGACCGAGGAGATGGAAGTCCAGAAGATGCACCAACTGCAGCAAGAGGTGGCTGAGCTGCGCCGGAGGAATGAGGAGTCTCTTCGAGTAGCCATTGCTGGCCCAGGTGAGTTGGGAAGGAGCTTGGCATAAGGACTGTGAAGGGAGTGGCTTACAAAGAATTAGGCTGTAATGCAGTTTTATTTACATTCTATATCTTTACGCATATAGAATCCTAGAGTTGGAAGAGACCTCATGGGTGATCCAGTCCAACCCCATTCTGCCAAGAAGCAGGAAAATTGCATTCAAAGCACCTCTGACAGATGGCCATCCAGCCTCTGTTTAAAAGCTTCCAAAGAAGGAGACTCCACACTGGGGCAGAGAGTTCCACTGCTGAACGGCTCTCACAGTCAGGAAGTTCTTCCTCGTGTTCAGATGGAATCTCCTTTCTTGTAGATTGAAGCCATTATTCCGCGTCCTAGTCTCCAGGGAAGCAGAAAACAAGCTTGCTCCCTCCTCCCTATGACTTTCCCTCACCTCTTTATTCATGGCCCTCATCATCTCCTCTCTGCCTTCTCTTCTGAAGGCTAAACGTGCCCAGCTCTTTAAGCCGCTCCTCATAGGACTTGTTCTCCAGACCCTTGATCATTTTAGTCACCCTCCTCGGGACACATTCCAACTTGTCAACATCTCCCTTCAATTGTGGTGCCCAGAACTGGACACAATATTCCAGGTGTGGTCTAACCAAGGCACAATAGAGCAGAGGTAGCATGACTTCGCTGGATCTAGACATATGTGCCCAGGCTGTCTCTGTTTGCTATATGCTATAGGTATATGTACGTTCCTGGAGCCGCTCACCCAAAAAATTAAGAGAACATCAGGAAACGAATACAACAATAAAGATCTGGGAACATGCAAATGTTGAAGGAGCACACTGTGGGTATCGTAAAAATACCTTCAGTCTCAGAAAGCCACTTTACCCCCTGACAAGACTTCTTAAACCAGACATGGGCAAACTTCGGCCCTCCAGGTGTTTTGGACTTCAACTCCCACACTGTTAGGAATTCTAACAGGTCATAATCCTCCATTTGGTTCTGTGACCAGTGATAATCCAGTCTCTAATACAGCCTCTTTTAGCCTTCCTTCATAAGGAAGACGCTCTTCCTTCTTGTTCACCTTTGTCCAGCTTCCCTTTGGCTCAGGAGTTCTTTGTGAGCAGTGTGGTAACTCATATGAGAACTGCACGACAAAGTTACTTTTTGAATTGCCAGTTCCAGAATTCCTCCAACCAGTATGTGTAATGGCTAGGCTAGTGTTTCTCAACCTGGGGGTCACGAGGAGGGGTCAGATGGGTCACCAGAGACCATCAGAAAACACAGTATTTTCTGTTGGTCATGGGAGTTTTGTGTGGGAAATTTGGCCCAATTCTATTGTTGGTGGGGTCCAGAATGCGCTTTTGATTAGGTGAACTATAATACCAGCAACTACAACTCCCAAATGTGAAGTCTGTTTCCCCAAACTCCACCAGTGTTCACATTTGGGCACATTGAGTATCATACCAAGTTTGGTCCAGATCCATCATTTTTGAGTCCACAGTGCTCTCTGGATGTAGGTGAACTACAACTCCAAGGTCAATGCCACCAAACCCTTCCAGTATTTTCTGTTGGTCATGGGAGTTCTGTGTGCCAAGTTTGGTTCAATTCCATCATTGATGGAGTTCAGAATGCTCTTTGATTTTAGGTGAACTATAAATCCCAGCAACTACAACTCCCAAATGACAAAATCAACACCCCTCCAACCATACCAGTATTCAAATTTGGGCATATTGGGTATTTCTGCCAAATTTGCTCCAGGGAATGAAATTACATCCTGCATATTAGATATTTACACTGCGATTCATAACAGTAGCAAAATTACAGCAATGAAAATAATTTTATGGTTGGGGTCACCACAACATGAGAAAC